GACCTGGTTGCACTGGGAGGGCGGATGTAACGCCCAGGCGCCGGCCGAGCACTCCGGCGCTGGACTTACCGTACTAGTTACTCCTGCCTTTCTCGGTCTACCCGCGTTCTGCTTACAGAACGCTCTCTCATCCCGCCTTGGCTTCGCCTTGGCACTAAAACTTCCTTCTCTCTCTCTCTCCTCCCCGCTACGTATAAAACCTCTTGTATTCACGTACGGCTGAGGGATCGTTCCTTCTGCAATCGACCAGACCGTAACCCTGTCTATCAGCGTCTGAACGTTCTCGTGTGCCACCTCCTTCCTATTCTGGTTGCCGGCGTCACAGCCCCCTTTGTGGCGGATGATCTCGTGTACATTTCCACCAAAAATATATCGCTCCCGAAAGGGCTGGCGAGGAAGCTCTCCCCCAAATACATTGGACCTTACAAAATCCTACGTGATTTTGGTAACCACTCTTTCCAGGTCGACTTACCTCGTAACCTGAAGCAGCGTGGGGTCCATGACGTCTTTCACTCGTCTCTTCTTCGTATTCACGAGCCGAACGACGACCGTCTATTCCCCGGTCGAATGGAGACACAAGTGGCGGAATTCGAGGACTCCGAGGATGAATGGATCATAACTCGGATCCTGTCGCACCACGGCGCGCGGGAGCAAGCCATATTTGAAGCGTTGTGGCGATCGGGCGATCGCACTTGGGTGCCGTACCGGGAAGTACGCAGTACCCGCGCGGTTGCTGAATATTTGGAAGTACTAGGAGTGGAAAACATTAGCCAGCTGTCTGACGGAACCGGTCGTCCACCTGCCGACGATCCTCAGGTGTTCCTAGGGGCTGTTGCCCCACTTGACCCGCGTCGTGGCCGTCCCTATAAAGGGTCCCGCAACGCGAGGGTACGACCGCAGGCAACTCCGCGCTCGTTTCCTCCTCGCTTCCACCGACCACTCTCCCCCGCAACTCCCATCCGTCTTCCCTCGCGCCTACCCCGGGTTGCTCCTTTTCATCTTCTCGTCCTCCTCTTGGTCCTCCTCGCTATGGCCGTGTTCAACGACAACGCCGCCCTCGACCGTCTCCCGAACGGCAACCTCATCCTACGCCGCAACTCTGACGGCGCCAAACTCCTGTACGCCATCGAGCAGCTGCGCATGTACTCTCGATTCGATTTCGCTCTGCGCGCCGACCGCCTGACCGGCCCTGGCTTGACCGAGCCCGCAGGCTACTCGGAGTTCCGAGAACTCTGGGCCCAAGACGCGGAATGCCGCTACCAGTTCGTTCAGTATGACCGCGCGACTGGAACTGTCGAACTCGTCGGGATTCACCTTCCTGCCGATGAACTCGCGCCAACCCACGCGTTGACCACTCCGGCCCCGCCGCCTATCCCTGCCCCAGCGCACCCCGCACCCGCCGACGCACCCTCCGCTGTGCCCGCCGCACCCGCCTCTCGCCTGGACGCGCGCCGTCAAGTCATCGTCGAAACCTTGATGCTTGACCAACTCGAGCGCAACCAGCGCACGCAGGACGCTATCCGCGAACGCCGCGAGCGCCGTGACAGAGAGCGCGCCGAACGCTCTGCCGCGGCCTCTCCCGCGTGGGCCGCCAAACAGAAGACTTGGAAGGAGCGAGCTGCCGCCGCGAAGGGCAAGGGCAAGGGCAAGGGCAAGGGCAAGGGCAAGGCCCGAGCTCTCCCCTCCGCGCCGTCCACGGAGCTCGTCCTGTCTGTCCCCAGGACCGACGCGCCCATGGACGTCGACGGCGCTGCCGCCGTCCATAACCCCTCGCCCACCGTTCCTGCCGCTCTGGCTGCGCCGCGCGCTGAGAACGCCGCGGCCAGTGGATCGGGTGCGAACCAGCCGAAGAAGACTTTCGGAGGTGGTGACGAGGAGCTCATCGACTACCCCTCCGACGAAGACCCCACCAAGCAGTGAACCTGGTCGCGAGACCTGGTTGCACTGGGAGGGCGGATGTAACGCCCAGGCGCTGGCCGAGCACTCCGGCGCTGGACTTACCGTACTAGTTACTCCTGCCTTTCTCGGTCTACCCGCGTTCTGCTTACAGAACGCTCTCTCATCCCGCCTTGGCTTCGCCTTGGCACTAAAACTTCCTTCTCTCTCTCTCTCCTCCCCGCTACGTATAAAACCTCTTGTATTCACGTACGGCTGAGGGATCGTTCCTTCTGCAATCGACCAGACCGTAACCCTGTCTATCAGCGTCTGAACGTTCTCGTGTGCCACCTCCTTCCTATTCTGGTTGCCGG